AGAAATGCACAAGTTCCCACAGGATGTATCGGCAGGGGTCGATAGAAATCAACAAACTGCCTCTGCTAAGCCGAACTGCACCCAACCTGCGTTTGGAATTAGCCCCTCGAGCGATTCTGTCGCGCAATTCGGGAACTCACTGATCGCTCTCTACCGGTAATCATTGGATCCTTGCAACTGCCAGTTCATTCTTGTCAAGATAGAACTTCTTTCAACCATTGCAGCGGCTGGCTGCGGAGCGCGGTTGGTTACTTACGCGAGATATGAGTCCAACCGATCGTGCTCTGCTGTTAATCTTTTTCCTTAGAAATGATACCCAGAAAAGCCTTTTTATTTTCTCAATGAAACGCCGAGACAGCTGTTCCTTTGTGAAACATTAAAACTCAGGCGTTCAGTTGGGAATCGGTGATTCTGCATGCTATGGAGGACTAGCGCTGGGAAATTGAACCGTGAACCTAATGACCACTTTCTTACTTACCCACTCCCATGTGTTTGTGTCGGGATATGTTGTCGTCGTAATATATTCATTTGCAGCGTTGAAAACAATGGCAGGGGTAATGACAGAACCAGGAAGTAGCTGTTTGTGCTCTGGAGGCTCGCGAGTGGTCCAGAGATCATGTGGCGGCAAATGGCGCCGCTTACCACGTGCACCCTCCCAGAGCAGGACAGGACGTATGTTGGAGAATCCCCAGCAGGGGGTCATATTCGCTCAGTATAGGGAAGGGGTCGTGCAAAAGGAGGAGATTTGGGAGGTCGTTCCAAAAATTTTCCCAAGCGGCAGGAAGTCCCCTGTTCCAAGGTGAAATTTCGGAGCAGTTCAGATCAGCCAAGCAAGTGTGTCCAGGATAGGACCATTGGTGCCACATTTGTCTAGGAGAATACAAGCCATGACTTCTCCATCAACTGGTCCCCGCAAGCCTGATCGCGTCCAAGATGTCATTATTGTTATTCCGAATGGAGGTTGAGTGCGCGGCGCATCCAGAAAGGATGTTCAACAGCTGAGTGGCCCTTTTCCAAAGCGCTTCCATTATTAGAAAATATAGGCTAAATCGCTGGAAAATAGAAGTTCTGCAGAATTGCCAGAATTGCTGAGTCTTATGGTATAATAGTAGAAAGCCGGTTTCATGGATACGGATACTCACTTAAGGGAAAGCAATAGCCGTACGAGTATATACTCAGCTGGAGGTATGTGATGTCGTCTTGAATAATCAAGTGGCATGAGTGGTCCTCATAAAATATTCGGTCTGCTTGCGAGGAATCAGTAATTGCATCGGGCATGTGGTGGTGTGCATGTGTCACGAAAGCATTCCTAATGAAAAGCCTGAGGTGAGGAAATTGCCAAGTGGCGTTAATGGATCACGCGATTGGAGAACTCCTTCGAGAGTGGGTCTTAATGGCTTTCCTGAAGAAATGATGGAATAGTAGTGGTTAATCAAGTGCAAAGATCATGGAGCGGTTTTCTGGAGGCAGTTTCTCCCAAAGACTCATTAAGAATTTCTTGGTAGCTTACGTCACGGCTTTTGCTGTCATATCATTCAGTAGAGACGGGCAGCGCGCATCTCTCATAATTACCGAGATGAGAATTCCTTTAGATCATCCGCCTAATTAAGATGAGAATTCCTTTAGGAATTGCAGGAATGTGTTTACTGGACTTTTGTTTTCTTTGGACTCGGGGAATGGAACAACGTGAATGGGAAGGGGGGGGGACGTGAAGGTTGTGTTTCCTGCAGTCGCATGCAGGCACCTTACAGCTGACATGGTCGTAATCAGTCGGAGCTGTTTCAGTGGGATAGAGAGCCCACCTGCGGCTTCTCCAACGCTGCTTGTTTCATTCCTAAATCGATCATCCAACTGATTTGTACTGGTAGAGCAAGGCAGCCCGAAACAAACTCCTTCCGCTCCTCCTGACACTGCCCCGACTGACTGCGGCGTCACCAACTAAGCAGTCATGGTGTCCGCCAGTTTGCGGTGGGAAAGAGGGTCAGCTGGGTGCTACTCCTTTATTGGAGTGGTAAGCACCGCCTTCTAATCATAAGTGAAAGGCAGCGTGTGCTCGTGCTTTCTTTCTGAGCGGCGTAGTTGAAAAGGAACAAGTCTGTACGGGGATTTTAGTCTCGGTGACAGGACCTGGTGTGAATGTCGCGCACGCGACGTACCTTGCATTACAGCGCTGCCGCACGTCGCCCCCGGTACAAGTCCATTCTCCATTACTGTCCATGGCTTTTCACAGTCAGTTTCGAAACTTATATTCTGCGCTGCAAATAATGGGGAGTGTCCGTGCGGGTGCTTTTGGCGTGGCGCCAGCCCGTTTTTTCTTCTGGCAAGCGACAGAACTGTTTCCCACCGTTCGTATCAGTGCCTTTCAACGCAGCGGCGCTAGCACCCCCTCCCCCCGATAGAGATATCCATCTAAAAAGCCATCGCCGGCCGCAGTCGTTCTTGTCGAAATCGACTGAACGATCGCTGCGAATGTTGTCCTAATTGTAGCAAAGGTTGCATTGACTGTCTCGCAGCACGAAGACTGCGATCAGAAAGGGAGAGGGGGGGGCAAGAGAAGAAGGAAAGTAGCCATTTTGCTTTCACTCTGAGGGTATCTGTCTTGCGCGTTTCATGGCCTAGATCCATGCTCAAAACAAAAAAAATCTGTGCTGGCTTGCCTTCTTTACAGCTATTCTTATGGGAAACGAAGGGGGGGGGGAATGAAAAAGCTCTCAATAGATTCCTCTCCTCTGAGAAATCCCCAGCCTGCCGTTATTGCCCTGACAGATGCCTTAATTAGCCGCGTAGTTATGCGGAAGTGTGACAGTACTTTTGGTTTTCGGCCGCGCGTGAATTTGACTGTTGAAGCGCACAAAAATCTCTGAAGTGAGCTGTGCAAATACGTTAATAATGGGGTGAGCAAAGTTTATAGGAGAGTTGGTTATGGATGAGCCATTTGTGTTACGAGTCACGCGGAATCAGCGGAAACGCATGTTACTAGGAATTTCCGCCGCAGCGCCGCGTGCGGCAAATTTGCGTGGCTTGACGAAGTATTTAAAACGAATGATCACAGCTGTAAGCCTGTCAAAGAATCAAGAGTGTAGTAATGGCTTCAAGTTACATAAACGAATAAGTGAAAGTTCTGAATTTTCTCTGACGTTCCACATTTCAGGCGTCTTTCGCTCAGCCAGATGCTGATATAGGGGCCGTGGTTCCCGTAATTGCTGCATGCTTCACTCCGGGACCACTTCTTCTTGGAGCAGCGGTTCATTTGTTGTTAAAGAGACTGAAGAAGAGATCAGCAACAGTAAGTTAAACTGGGGGGTTTTTCTCGATACCAATTTCAATTTAAGCGGCCTAATCTCCCCGCGGTAAAGTGGCGCTCCTCGTTTTTTCACAACATATTGATACAAAGGAGTAATCCTATCAATGCTGCTTGTGCTAAGCTGGAAAACAACCTGATGACAGGGTTAATTGCAGAACAGCTAACGAGTCAGGCTTCTGCTGACAGCACCTTCTAAGGAGACTAATATTGGTAGTTTGGCGTAGCTGGATGAGGAGCTGTTCATAGTTTGCGTCAGAGTTTGAGCGTACCCGGTAAAGGGGCTAGAAAGTAAATAGGTAATCGATTTTGGCATTTCTGAAGCGCCTGGCATGGTAGCCTGATTCACGAAACCCAAGTGCCAATTCGAAATACCTTTATCCTTTATAGTCACTCGAAGTACTGCTTCCTGCACGCAACAGTAATGAACAACCTGTAGGAAGTATGAACACACTCTGAGGGTGCAGGTGTGAATAGTTGTGAGTCCCCCTATTTCAGCACCTTTCTTTATCCTTTCACTCTACAAGTTGCTTTAATTTACTTTTCAGTTGGAAGAGATAAAAGAAGCAACGGGTGGAGCTCGTGAGGCTGAGGAGGTCCCATCGTCGATGTCGTTGCTGCAGCAGCCCAACGGAGAATCCAGCAAGGGCACATGATGTGGCTGCCATTGCTACTATAGCCTGAGTCCTGTGACTTTTTTCATATCCGTTAATGCTCCCCACTCTGGCTGCTCTACTTGTAGCCCAAGCGTATTTATGAATATTGAAAAAGTTCATTGTTTAATCGGCGCAGGTGTAGCACAGGTCCGTCAAGGTATAGAAGACATTTAACGCGCCAATGAGATAATCTGCCATATAAAGTTGATGACGCGGAAATGTTTTGTTTAATTGTCATTGACACGTCAAGCCACGTCATTGACGTGTTATGTGACGTCACTGACGCGTCATCTGTCTCTCAGAATACTGTACTGCGTACCTGTGCTACACCAGCACCGTTTCTTCTTTCAAAAATAGCGATCTATTAGATTTTTAAGTGTTCGTTTCTTATTTATTAACTTCGAGCTTGTTTTTTTTTCGTTTCCAAAGATAGAAATTTTCATAATAGTTGTGTTTTGTGAGCTTTATGGTTGGTCGTGATGTGATGAGCCGGTTATTGATTGTATTGATTCAAACAGATTGTAGTGAAAGAGATTTTTATTCGTATCGATCGTATAGACGTTTGTATAGTCCTATTATGTGGCTGCCTAACATATCTTGTGTTGTGTTAGTTTGACCAAAATGCTAGTGGGGAATGAAAATACGTTTGTTTGTGATCTTTCAGTTTAGAAGTGAGGAGTTCTAGTTGTGCCCAGGAGCAGTGGTACTAGGCGTTGTTAGCTCTGTGAACATATTATGGGTGGCAAGTTCGGTCTCAGTTGTGCGGTGCATGCAGGGTACAACGTGGCGATGAGTACCGTTGAGAATATGCCCCCTCCCTCTCCAACCCTGGAATTCTTCAAGCAGGCAGAGGCAAACTTCCGATCAGCTATCTAAATAGGACTGCAAAATCACCGGCTGGTAGAGGGGTGAACCGTGGAGGGCACCGACGGAGGGGGCATTTTGCTTTATAACTGCTTCCCTGGTTCCGGTTTACAAATCTCACTCTCGTGAAACTTGTGAACGCTTGTGAAGCTGGAGCACGATCGTCTACCCTCATCTGAAGAGGCGTGGTCACCTCGAAAAAAAGGTTACCTAGAGGTTTGGCAAGTCCTATGAAAATAAAATGCCCCCGTCGATAAAGAAGCGTCGGCAACCGAGTCGACACCACGTTCCTTGCTCTCGCTGTCCTCTCGAAGCAACCTTGGTTCGCATGCAGAATGCTAGGCGCGATGTCCAGTGGGCTAGATCGCGAGCCACTAACCCCTTTCCCACCAACTGTCACCAACTGTTGTCACTATGGCCGCTTAAAACTAATTAAACAAACCGCAGTGCCGCACACCACCGCCGCTCACCCACTGCTCAGCATCCGCAGCGAACAAGACTGTAAAACATTTCAAAGATATGTACCTAAGAAAAGACCGCCTCGAAGATTAAGGCGGCCTCCATTGGGTCCTGTGAACGCGAAGACGGGTAGAGGGCAGCGCTGCCGAAAGCAATCGAGATCGCGCAAAAAACTAGGCGAGGCAAGAAACCGGGATTTATTCAAAGGAGGGGACTCCGGGGTGGGTGAGCTACTTATAGTCGGTGAAAAGCTGGAGTGAGCGAAGTCACAACGGCCATAGAGTGCCATGCGGACGAGAGTGCAGAGAAAAACAGAGAGATCGACACGGCAGCGTTAAGTGATTAGAGGGAGTTCAAGTGTCTCCCAGTAGACCCATATGGGTTGGCCTGTCAACGGTGCACAAGAAGATGGGTCCTGATGCGAATGGTAGTTGCACTCGTGGCGCGACTCCGGTCAGCTGTTACTCATTCTGTCTCATTGCCAGCGCCATCATAGCACGCTCCCCGCACTCAGCCTTCTCTTCCCCTGAAACTGCTGTAAGCAACATAAGAACATACGGCACTATTGAAGCGTATTTCCTACCCAAAAACTCAAGAAAAAAAAATTTTCGTTGAAACGTTGCCTATAGGTGTAATTTGATGTCCTGATCACGAATATCACATTCGTTTCGAGCGCTGGCGTCATCTGGCGCCATTATGCGCCAATTTGGCGCCCACCACTTTTTCACCAAAGTCGATGAAAACTTGCATATGGGGGTTACTTGAGGTCCTGATTACGAATCCGACATTCATTTTTGGCGTTGGCGCTATTTGGCGCCATTACGCGCCAATTTGGCGCCATATTGGCGCATAATGGCGCCAAATGGCGCCAGCGTTTGAAACCAGTGTGATATTCGTAATCAGGATGTCGATTAACCCCCATATGCAAGTTTTCATCAACTTTGGTGAAAAAAGTGGTGGGCGCCAAATTGGCGCATAATGGCGCCAAATGTCGCCAGCGCTCGAAATGGATGTGATATTCGTGATCAGCGCATCGAATTACATCTATAGGCAAAGTTTCAGCGAGAAAATTTTTTGTTGAGTTTTTGGGGTAGGAATAGTTCAATAGTGCCGAACATTCTACTGGCTCATCTCTGCAACCGTACAACACGGTCCGTGTGGCTAAGAGTGCGTGGCTTACTCTAATAGTGAGTGGGCTTGTTGTAGCTCACCGTAAAAGAGGTACTCATAGTGGAACCTTTGTCCCTTGAAATATAGATTTTAACTGACGGACTTAATGTCTCCTGTCGCACAAGATGTCCCACAGATCGGTCACGAATCGATGCCGAGAAACTGCACGCATTAGCAACGACAGGGCAGTTGTGTCAACAGCTGTTTGTGTGCACAGGCAGCTTCCGTGGGTTTTTTTGAGCGCGTTCAGCAGCGTTGGCAAGGGAACTGTGAAAACAAGTTGGTAGAATGTTACGAAAGCTTTGGCTAGTTGCCAACTTATAGAGGTTCTCTTGTATTTTGAGCTCTCGCGATCATCATTGCAGGTGGAAAGTGAGGGTGTCAACGGTATTCTTGTGGATCGGTAATCAGTAATTTCATCTATTTCTTCCACTTTCCTATGTGTCCAAAGAAAGATGTTTTGACAACGCTGAAGCACGAATGAGATGTCAGGGAGAC